TTTAAAATAACACAAAATCTGTCTCTTTGGTTGTTCAAAAGTCAGAAATAAAACCTTAAATTTAAGACCTGGTGCATTGAATCAAATTCCATAATTTGGAACACTTTTAAGAGTCAGAACTAGGGAAGGAAGAATAGCACCCGCATGGGAGACCAGGAGGAAGCACCTGGCTCCTGGTTTCAGATCAACGCAGCATGCTGGCTGCAGCGCACCAGCCATAGTGGCCATTTGGGGGGTAAACCAATGGAAGGAAGACTTTCTCTCTGTCTCTCTCTCTCACTGCCTAACTCTGCCTGTCAAAAAAAAAAAAAAAAAGAAATCAACAAATGACAAAACTGATGAGGATGTAGAAAAAAGTTACCCTGGTGCACTGTTGGTGGGAATGTAAACTGGTGCATGCCACCATGAAAGACCGTATGGAGATATCTTAACAAATCTGATTATAGACCTACCATTTGATCCAGCCATCCCACTCCTTGGAATTTACCCAAACCAAAAGAAATTAGCATATGCAAGAGTTATCTATAACCCTATGTTCATTGCAGCACAATTCACAATAGCTGAGATCTGGGAACAATCCAGATATCAATTAATTGTTGACTTAATAAAAAAAATTATGGTATATACACACTATGGCATACTACTCAGTTATGAAAAAAAAAAAAAGAAAAAGAAACCCTGTCTTTTGCAACAAGATAGATGAAACTGGAAACCATTATACTTAGTAAAATAAATGAGTCCCCGAAAGACAGATATCATATGTTTTCCCTGATCTGAGGTAGCTAATAGAGTACCTAAAATGTAATGTATTGGAGTTAGATACACATTTTGAGATTTGATGATTGTTTAGAGCCCTTGTCTCTTCCATTGAGGAACAGTAATTTATTTTTTTTCTTCATACTATTCGCTGACTTGTTGAACTCTTACTTAGTGTAGGGTTAACTATACAATCAATAAGTAAACTGAAAACAGATTCTGTTAAAGTTAAGTGGGAATGTGAGAGGGAAGAGGAGAAAGGGTTGGAGTGTGTATGGCAGGGAGGGTATCGGAGAAAGTGTCACTTACATTAGTTAGTCTGTATATATGAAATATATCAAACTGATATTAAATAAAATTTTAAAAGTAAATATTTAAAATTCAAAATATTTATAACAATAACAAGGAGAATTTTAAAGGTGTTTATATATATATATGTGTGTGTGTTTAATTTATGACATTACAATATAAATGTACATATATATAATTTGTAATATAAATATATAGAGAGCAACATTTTGAAATTTTTATAATGTATTTGTCATCAGAAAAGAATAGCTCAGATTTCTGTAATAATCCAGTTTCTGATCATTACAAGAATGAAGAGTAAGCCACCAAGTTGTAGCTCATAATCTTTGTTTCTCTGTGTCTCCAAGTCTACCAAGCTCTAATGGTAGCCTGAAGTTCCCTGCACTAGAATTGGCACAAATCAGGTTATTATTTATTGAGGTGGTAATAAATTCGAATCAACATGAAAAATAGAGAAATGTATTCATTTCAATATATTGACAGTTATGTGTACAAATGGTAAATTTAGTAGAAGCAGGAATAAGGTTACAAGGAGACGTAGCAGATATTAATAAAAATAGCCCTAAATACACATTTAAATACAGAAAATTTGTGCTCTCTTAAATCAAAGAAAGCTTATGCCATTGAATTCAGTAGTTTTAAAACCAAGATAAAACTGTCTCGATCCAATGCATGGAAATTTTAAAGAGAATGACAATTTTGATTCTCGAAATATAAAGAAGCTATAAAAAAGTGTCCTTGAAAGTGTAAAAGAATGTAATGTTCTAAAATTATTTGATAGGCCATAAAGATGGAGGTTGCTAAGACAACTTGAACATTATTTAGTGCATTCATGATATGAAAATATAAGTGCCCAAAAGAATCATCATACCTTGGCAGTGCTAAGATTGCTTTCCATGTGGATATTGACATACTCAGATGAAATTAATTAAATGAAAGACAAAATAAAAAATAGAAACCTGATGCACATGGAAATTAAAACTTTGCCTTGCCCTTAGTAACAATGTGTATTTTAATGTGAGCCATAATTAAAAAATAAATATGTGGATGAATATTTGGTGAAAAAACAGTCCGGAATAAACTGGAAAAATTACAGTATGATACAGACTTGCAGTTTGGAAAATTTCCACAATCAGAAAATAATTTACAGTTCTAGGAGCATCTAGAAACATTAAGAATGTATCCTATGTTGATGACCATGATGGTGCTGGCACTGCAATGTACTCAAATCCTATACACATGACAGTTGCTTGGACAACTTCCAGCATTTAGAGTGAGTTGATGACCACACAATTATAAATCAAACCATGGTACCCATCATTTCCCTGTTTTAGGAATGTCACAAATTGGGTTATTCATTACACATGCAGGTGATAGTAGTAAATGACAAAATAAATATGCATTCCATGGAAGGCATTTAATTTTGATTATATGGTGTATAAATTAGTAATTTGGCAGAAAGAGTCATAATCATATAGAGATGGGCTAATAATTGGATGGTAGAGTAGGGAGGGAGCTTACTGCTCTAGCCCAGAAGAAGATAGTTTTAAAAAAAGTGGAAATAGAGTAGTCTCAGGGAAGAGTTAGGGAAAAAATGACAGAGGAAATTCTACTGACATGAGAGGGACATGGTGGACCCACATGGAGGGTCTTTTTTTTTTATATAGTATCCTGTAAATATTCCCAACAGTCTTTTTTAGATTTCTAATCTGTTCTTGTGTTTGGTTTGACCGTATACTTTCCTGTACTTTGTCTACTAAGTCTGGTATTCTCTCCTCTGTCTCACTGATTCTATTTCTAAGGCTCTCCACTGCATTTTTTATTGTATTGAATTCTTCATTTCATTTTGATTTCTTTTTAATATCTGTTTCATGTTCTGTTGAATTCTTCATTTCATCTTGATTCCTCCTGATAATTTTTACTTCATGGGAGAGATTTTCTTTCATGTCCTTCATGGATTTCAGTAGTTTGTGCATTTGCTTTTGATTACTTCTATGTAATCTTATGAGCAAATTTTTGAGTTCTATTTCTTGCATTTCTTCTCTCATCATCTTCATGACCTAGTATTGAAATGTCATGTTCTTTTGGGAGCATGATGTTTTCCTTATTCTTGCTTCTTGGATTCTTGCATTTGTGGAAATACTTTTTTTTTTCCTAGCAGTTTTTATCATTGTATTATGACTGTAGATAAATGGACTTTCTGCTTTTAGTGAATCTCTAGAGGCTTGTAGTGGGTGTGGCCAGAGAGCTCCGTTAAGTTTTCAAGGGTAAAGAGTATGCCTAAGGTGACACACCCAGGTTTGGCATGGTAAATCTCTTTTAATCAGAAGGGAGTTATATTCTGTTCAGCTGAGTTCTTCTCTTCAATGGAGACCAGTGCCTGAGTACTAAATCAAGTGGGTATAATATTCACTATGTCCCAAGGACCACATGAGGATCTGTGCTCTCAATGTGGTTCTTCTGTCCTTAGTGAGAATTAACAGTAAATCTACTCTTCAAACACCTGTTTAGCTGGGAGCCTAGGAAACAGTGCTCAGGCAAGTAATATTGTGAAAAATTAGTTCTAAGTAATATGAAAGATAACCCAGACAAAACAGCGGTCCAGCAAATCATTCAACCTCACTGAAACTACCAGCAGCTATATCATTCATTTTCTATTAAATCTGTTTATAATAAGATTTTTTTTGATGAACACTTGTAAGAAGCTGTGGGGACTTAAACAGGGATGAAGAGCTATTTCTTATGGGTAGTAATGGAGGTGGAATGGATTAGCTGCACAGCTATTATCTAGATGGGAAATAAAAGAGCTACTGCAGCTAGATGCATCATAGCATTTGTAGCCCTGTTATCATGGGATAGCCAAGCAACCTAGGAAAAGTGTTCCTCCTGAGGGTATCCTGAGGAACTAACTGAATGTAAATCAGATTTATATTAATCCAGAAAGGACTTTGTAAATCGGAAGGAATAAAAACACACATTTTCAATAAAAATCAGGGCCACCTGCAGGAGCAGGGAATAATGCAACAAAAAGGTTATAAAAATATGTTAAATTAATACAAAAGTGTACTACAGGGGCCAGCACTGTGTCACATCAGGTTAATGCCCTGACCTGAAGTGCTGGCATCCCATATGGGTGCTGGTTCGAGACCCAGCTGCTCCACTTCCAATCTAGCTCTCTGCTATGGCCTGAGAAATAGTAGAAGGCCCAAGTGCTTGGATCCCTGCACCTACATGGGAGATCTTGAGGAAGCTCCTGGTTTTGGATCAGCACAGTCCTGGCTATTGTGGCCAATTGGGTAGTGAACCATTGGATGGAAAATTCTCTCTGTTTCTGCTCTTTCTGTGTAACTCTGACTTTCAAATAAATAAATCTTTAAAAAAAAAATACTACACCTATGCTCCTGCTTCTCTATTGCAATGGGTACCACATGGATAGACTTCATTCCATGTTCTTGTCTCAAGGCAATTAGGAACAGAATGAAAAAGCATAGAAAAGTGGCATCATGAATGAAAAAGGAATTATGCACTCAGTAATACAGAAAAATTCAGATGAGTGTTGCAACTTATAGGGTCTGAGGTTGTCCCTTTAAAGAATGAGGGTAATGTGTGCGACAACATCTACTTGCATATTCAAATAGACCTTGGGTAGTGGAGTCTAATCCGGATGTGCACACAGATTAGTTGAAATTTCTCATGGGTATATAGGTTGCCACAAACTCATTCCCTTGTGTTGCACACAACACTTACTATCCAGGGCCGGGGTACACTATGATGGCTGGAACATGTGTCACTTGATATGCCTATGGTCACATCACTGGTTTGCACTACAATAATGTGGGGAAAGAATCCTGGATGGCCAAAAAAGGAGCTATAAAACAAATAACTTTGTAATTGATGAAGATGGTATTCCAAATAACTGTTGAAATAACTGTTACTCAACTTTTAAATATTTATTAACAAAATTTACACAAGAGAGCACAGTTCAGTTCATATACTTGATCCCACTCACAATAGTGAGAAACCAAAAGTTCAGGTTGAATAAGAGAAAAATTTCTGAAGAATGGTTAACCACTCTCTGTCACAACTCATCATGAAAACTGCCCAATACTCACTAAGGTGTGATTCTACCAAAGAATTCTTCCAAACAAATTATATTTCAGGGACTTCTCTCTGTAATCTTGCTTTGTTTTGTGGAAGTTTGCCTAATAATGCTGGTATTTCACATTACAATACAGTCATAGGATTTTTTTCTTTCTGTGAGTTGTCAGGTAACCATTGAGAGGTGATGTATGGTACATGACTTTTCTATGCATGTATGTTTTCTCATTTCGGAGTCTCTTCATGTGAATTGATTGATGGCAGAAAAATTTTTTCACATTCATTAAATTCCATTCATAAGCTTTCTCCCCCATGTGAATTCTGATGTTTTATGAGGTGCTACTTATGGATAAAGGCTTTTCCATATGCATTATATCCAAAGTGTTTTCCCCCATATGAATTAGATGATGTGCAATGAGGGCTGAATTATGAGAAAAAGCTTTCCAAGTCATTATGTCCAAAAGGTTTCTCTTCATGTGAATTTTCTGATGCATTCTGAGATGTGACTTATTGCCAAGGGCTCTTCCACAGTCATTGCATTCATGAAGTTTCTCCCCAGTGTGAATTCTCTGGTGTGATATGAGCTATGATTTATAACATATGATTTAAAAAGGCTTTTCCACACCCATTAGATTCATAAGGCTTCTGCCCTGTGTGAATTGTTTTGATGTGAGTATAACTTATAGAAAAAGGCCTTTCCACAGTCATTACATTTATAAGATTATTTTCCTGTGTGAATCCTCTGATGCATTTGGAGTTGGAACTTAAGTTTTTCCATAGTCATTACACTCATGAGGTTTCAATACTGTGTTCATTCTCTGGTGCATTATGAGGTTTGACTTTTGTCCAAAGGCTTTTCCAGTCATTACATTCATAAGGTTTCTGCCCTGTGTGAATTCTGATTCATGAAGAAGGTTGACTTATGGCTAAATGCTTTCCACAGTTATCACAATCATGAGTTCTCTACCCTGTGTGAATTCTCTGCTGTGATATGAGGTTAGTAATTTGTCCAAAGGCTTTTCCACAGTCATTACATTTATTAGGTTTCTGCCCTGTGTGAATTCGCTGATGTCTCCCGAGGCCTGGCTTGTTTCCAAAGGCTTTTCCACAGTCATTACATTTATGAGGTTTCTCCCCTGTGTGAATTCGCTGGTGTATGATGAGGTGTAACTTTCTTCCAAAGGCTTTTCTACAGTCATTACATTAATGAGGTTTCTCTCCTGTGTGAATTTGCCGATGTATGAGTAGGCTTGCCTTTTGTCCAAAGGCTTTTCCACAGTCATTACATTTATGAGGTTTCTCCCCTGTGTAAATTTGCTGATGTATGGTGAGGTTTGACTTGTATCCAAAGGCTTTTCCACAGTCATTACATTTATGAGGTTTCTCCCCTGTGTGAATTCGCTGGTGTATGATGAGGGCTGACTTTTGTCCAAAGGCTTTTCCACAGTCATTACATTTATGAGGTTTCTCCCCTGTGTGAATTTGCCAATGTATGAGTAGGTTTTCCTTTTGTCCAAAGGCTTTTCCACAGTCATTACATTTCTGAGGTTTTTCCCCTGTGTGAATTCGCTGATGTCTGCTGAGGCCTGGCTTGTTTCCAAAGGCTTTTCCACAGTCATTACATTTATGAGGTTTCTCCCCTGTGTGAATTTGCTGGTGCATGATGAGGTACGACTTTCTTCCAAAGGCTTTTCCACAGTCATTACATTTATGAGGTTTTTCCCCTGTGTGAATTTGCTGGTGCATGAGGAGGGCTGACTTGTGTCTAAAGGCTTTTCCACAGTCATTACATTTATGAGATTTCTCCCCTGTGTGAATTTGTTGGTGTATGATGAGGTTTGACTTTCTTCCAAAGGCTTTTCCACAGTCATTACATTTATGAGGTTTCTCCCCTGTGTGAATTCGCTGGTGTATGAGGAGGGCTGACTTGTGTCTAAAGGCTTTTCCACAGTCATTACATTTCTGAGGTTTTTCCCCTGTGTGAATTCGCTGATGTCTGCTGAGGCCTGGCTTGTTTCCAAAGGCTTTTCCACAGTCATTACATTTATGAGGTTTCTCCCCTGTGTGAATTTGCTGGTGCATGATGAGGTTTGACTTTCTTCCAAAGGCTTTTCCACAGTCATTACATTTATGAGGTTTTTCCCCTGTGTGAATTTGCTGGTGCATGAGGAGGGCTGACTTGTGTCTAAAGGCTTTTCCACAGTCATTACATTTATGAGGTTTCTCCCCTGTGTGAATTCGCTGGTGTATGATGAGGTACGACTTTCTTCCAAAGGCTTTTCCACAGTCATTACATTTATGAGGTTTTTCCCCTGTGTGAATTTGCTGATGTTTGCTGAGGCCTGACTTGTGTCTAAAGGCTTTTCCACAGTCATTACATTTATGAGGTTTCTCCCCTGTGTGAATTTGTTGGTGTATGATGAGGTGTGACTTTATTCCAAAGGCTTTTCCACAGTCATTACATTTATGAGGTTTCTCCCCTGTGTGAATTTGCTGGTGCATGATGAGGTTTGACTTTCTTCCAAAGGCTTTTCCACAGTCATTACATTTATGAGGTTTCTCCCCTGTGTGAATTAGCTGATGTTTCCTGAGGTTTGACTTGTGTCCAAAGGCTTTTCCACAGTCATTACATTTATGAGGTTTCTCCCCTGTGTGAATTTGCTGGTGCATGAGGAGGGCTGACTTTCGTCCAAAGGCTTTTCCACAGTCATTACATTTATGAGGTCTCTCCCCTGTGTGAATTCGCTGGTGTATGATGAGGTACGACTTTCTTCCAAAGGCTTTTCCACAGTCATTACATTTATGAAGATTTCTCCCCTGTGTGAATTCGCTGGTGTATTAGGAGGGCTGACTTTCGTCCAAAGGCTTTTCCACAGTCATTACATTTCTGAGGTTTTTCCCCTGTGTGAATTTGCTGATGTCTGCTGAGGCTTGACTTGTGTCTAAAGGCTTTTCCACAGTCATTACATTTATGAGGTTTCTCCCCTGTGTGAATTTGTTGGTGTACTATGAGGTCTGACTTCCACAGAAAGCCCTTTCCACAATGAAGGCATTTATAAAGTTTCTCTCCTGTGTGAATTCGCTGATGGTTTATGAAGTATGACTTTTGTGTAAAGGCTTTTCTACAGTCACTACATTCATGAGGTTTCTCCCCTGTGTGAAGTTGCTGATGTTTTCTTAGGACTAAATTTTGTCTAAAGACTTTTCCACAGTCATGACATTCAGATCGTGAATTAAAACTGAGTGATTTGCCACAAGGTTTACAATGTGTAAACTTTTTTCCTTGTATTTAGTCTCTGGTTTATTGCAGGATGTGACTGGTGAATGACAGGTTCAACATACATAATGTACTTATAAAATTTCTTTCTTGTGTGAGTTTGTTGATGCATATTGAGGCTAGAATTTTCATGGATAGCTTTTCTATTTGAGTTGCTTTTCCAAAAGTGACAGTTGATTTATTACAGTTTTCTGCCATATGAATCCTCTCAGATTTACAGAACATCTTTCTTATGAAGACTTTTGCTTGTCCAGTGGGTTCAAATGGCTGCTTCATGATATGAATATTGTCATGCTGACTAAGAGGCTCACAGAACTGCAGAGATTTTCCAGGTATCTTAGTGTTATCAAATTTTTCTCCAGCCTGTAGTTGATCAGGGCCACTGGGGGGAAATACAGTGTGACATTTACTGCATTCCTCAGGCTTCAATCCTGTATTTGTTCCCTTTTTAATAATCAGTGTTGGAATATGGCTTGAATTTAAACTAAGAGTTTTTCTTAATTCAATTCTCTTGAGAGCTGATGTCTTGTTATTTTTCATAAAATCCTGATTCAGATTTGTGTCCTGACTTTCCTGGTTGATCCTACGCAGGTCATCCCTTTTCATAACCGCTGAAATGAGAAAAAAGCAATCATGTCACTGAATCACATGTAACTGTTTCTCCTGGCATACTCATGTAAAGGGAATGAAGTTACTTGTAATCCAAGTGGCATAAGATTTTCACAAAATCAGTATGAAGTACTTATTTGTATCCATTATATGGTTAATCTCCTTAATACATTAATATACCATGAGGTTTCCCAATGTTCAAACATGATCCTTTTTACTATGGGAATTTGTCAAGGATGGTAGAATGACATTTGTGCTATGAAGTGTGGGATGCCTGCATCTCAAAACAGTGTCAGTTTGAGCCCTGGCTACTCTGCTTTCAGTACAGCTCTCTGCCTATGTAAACTGGAAGGAAGCAGATAATGGTTCATGTGCCTGGAAACCTATGAGAAACCAGGGAAGACTAGAGGGATTCTAGAGTTTTGGCTTCAGACTAGTTAGACTTAAGTGTTGCAGGCATTTGGGAAGTGAGCTAATAGAGGACCTCTTTCTCTCTCTCTCTTCTCTCACTATCACTCTGCCTTTCACAAAGATGAAATAACTATAAAATATTTTAAAGAATGGGCAAATGTTTAATAAAAATATTCACCCACTACCTACCAACCATTTTTTCCCTGTCCTTTTTCTCCAGTTTATTTCTATAAAAATTTTGTGCTTTTTGCTTCTCTGATATCTCAACCATAAACATGAAAAAGTTTTACTGATCATTTACTTGCCAGGTGGAGAAGAGTGAAATGTGCCTGTACTTTAAGCAGGACAACATTTAAGGAGTAGAATTTGAATCTATGATTGTCTCATGCTCAGTCTTCCTAGGTAAACATCAGTTGTGGGATTTTTCAAATGAAAAACTACTTTGTCTCTACTCTATGACAGCTTCCCCAAATTCCTAAGGACACCCAACACCTTCAGCTTCTCAGAAGTACAACAGGTACAGAAAATTCCCAATATACCACTTTAGTTAAACACTCCCAATCAGTTTGAAGAATTTGTTTCTGCAAACCAGGATGTGCTCATCTTCTTTGAAAAGTGTTTTCTAGCTCATTCTGAAATCATCAGTGCTGGTTACCTCCTCTCAATTCTTTCTAGAAGCATTCCTGTGTGATAATTTGAATTTCTGGAGGCTTTTGATCAGTTGCCTTCTATTTTCACTGAAAGCTTCATTTCCTATGCTTTTCTTATCTTTTTGTTTGCTTATTTTTCAATGATACTGAAAAATAAGAGAGAAATCATACTTCAAACTCCACCCTTAAAGAAATCTGAGCTACTCAACATAAACCCATGAGGCTACTTGACTTGGGTCTCAAAATCTCATTACTTTCTTGGTGAGTCTAGGATCACTTATTTTCATGTTTTATATAAGTTCATGCTTAGTTTATGATTTCTTTTTTTTTTCAAAGATTTACTTTATTTATTTGAAAGCTAGAATTATAGAGAGAGAGACAGAGAGAAGCCTTCCATCTGCTGGTTCACTCCCCATATGGGCACAACAACCAATGCTGGGCCAAAATGAAGTTAGGAGCCAGGAGTGTCTTTCTTGTCTCCCACATGGGTACAGGGGGCCAAAGACTTGGGCCAACCTCTGCTCTTTTCTCAGGTGCATTAGCAGAGAGCTGGATTAGAAGAGGATTAGCTGGGACTTGAACTGGCACCAATATGCAATGCTAGTGTTGCAGGCTAGAGCTTTAACACACTGCACCACAATGTCATTCCTAGCTTCATAATTTCTGATGTCACAGCACAGAGGCTTACTCATGACCATCTTTTATTTTTAAAGATTTATTTATTTATTTGAAAGTCAGAGTTACACAGAGAGAGGAGAGGCAAAGAGAGAGTCAGGTCTTGATCCAATGGTTCACTCCCCAATTGGCCACAACGGCCAGAACTGTGCTGATCTGAAGCCAGGAGCCAGGAGCTGCTTCTGGGTCTCCCTCAGGTGCAGGGATCCAAGGACTTGGACCATCTTCTACTGCTTTCCCAGGCCATAGCTGAGAGCTGGATTGAAAGTGGAGCAACTGGGTCCCGAACTGGTGCCCATATGGGACGCTGCTGCTTCAGGTTAGGGTGTTAATTCACTGCACCACAGTGCCAGCCACATGACCACCTTTTAGCATTTACTTATTTACTTACTTGAGAATCAGAGAGACAGAATGAGAGATAAAGACAGACTGAAACAGAGGTTTGCCAACTGTAAGCTCACCCCTCAAAGGTTTCCAACAGACTATAATTTTCTTATTTATTTGAGAGGCACAGAGGAAAAAAAAAGAGACTAAGAAAGAGAGAGTTCACATTTATTGATTCAGTCCTGAGCCTGGGCAAAATCATGAGTAGGAACTCAATCTGAGCAATGAGTTAGAAATAAGTTTCCGGGGGCTGGTGCTGTTGTATAGCAGGTAAAGCCACCACCTGCAGTGCCAACATCACTATGGGCACCAGTTTAAGTCCTAGCTGATCCGCTTCTGATCCAGCACTCTGCTATGGTCTGGGAAAGCAGTAGAAGATGACCCAAGTCCTTGGACCCCTGTACCCATATGGGGGACCTGGAAGAAGCTCCTGGCTCCTAGCTTCAGATCAGTATAGCTCCAGCCATGACAGCCAATTGGGAAGTGAACCAGGGGATGGAAGACCTCTCTTTCTCTCTCTGCCTCCCCTTCTTCTCTCTCTCTGACTTTCAAATAAATAAATAAATCTTAAAAAAAAAAAAACAGGCTGGTGTGGTGGCTCAATAGGCTAATCCTCTGCCTGCAGCAGCCGGCACACCAGGTTCTAGTCCCAGTCGGGGTGCCGGATTTTGTCCTGGTTGCCCCTCTTCCAGGCCAGCTCTCTGCTGTGGCCTGGGAGTGCAGTGGAGGATGGCCCAAGTGCTTGGGCCCTGCACCCACATGGGAGACCAGGAGAAGCACCTGGCTCCTGGCTTTCAGATCAGTGTGGTGTGCCAGCCACAGCACAATGCCCATGGTGGCCATTGGAGGGTGAACCAACTACAAAAGGAAGACCTTTCTCTCTGTCTCTCTTTCTCACTGTCCACTCTGCCTGTCAAAAAAAAAAAAAAAAAAAAACACAGAAAAATTAATCTTAAAAAAAAATAAGTTTCTATATGTTGCCTAATTAACTAGAACTGAAGGAACTAATAAATGCATGAAGGAAAAGGTATGAAAGTGTAGAGGAGGACAAGTTAGAATTGGGGGAATGTATCAAACCTAGATAAAAGCCTTAGTAACAGCAGAAAATGACTAGATTTTTTTTTTTAATCAAAGAACATCTTCACTAAGAACAAAAGTTAGAAAGATACTGGTATCTCTAAATGCCTGTGTCTGATGCACAAAACCAGCTGTCATCAGGAGTAAGGCTTGAGAAAAATTCATGGAAAGAACACCAGTCAACATCTGCATACTCTCTGCCTTGGCCTCCCTGTCTGTTATGTGCAGACTGACCTGAAAGGCTCTGATTCAAGCATTCGTCCACCATCCATGGCTCTTCTCCCCGCTCCAACTTGAAGATCAAGTCAGGTTTGGTAATGCAGTGCCCTATTAATGGAAACAAAGTAACACTTTGTAAAATCACTATCTTGGGTTATTTAAAGGACTACAGCTTGGTTCAGGAGCTATGCAACAAATGTTCCAATTTGAATCTTTTGTTAGATGGTAGATAGTCAGATTATTCATGGACTCAAATTCTAATCCTGCCCAATATTAAACAGCATAAAGTGTTCCCTTATTTGTCAAATAGCAAGAAAATGTTATCACTGGGCATGTGATGGGTGTCACTCACCCAACGAGAACAGGCTGCTGTAGGTCTCCAGCATCACATCTCTGTACAGGATTTTCTGAGCATTGTTCATTTTCTGCCATTCATCCCATGTAAAGTACACAGCGAGGTCTTCAAATGCTGTCATCACCTATAATAATACACTTTCAGTCAACATGTTAACTCTGTCACAAAATAAATACTGACAGTTGTGTATTGATATGAAGGAAAAAAGGAAGGATATGGTTTCACATTAGACTTGTTAGAGTGTTTAGAACGCCACACAGAGCATTCAACAGAGTCAAACCAATGATCTACAGGCTGTGAGAAATGCCCAAGCTGGAGGGAAACAGGAGGTTCAAATCAAAAAGGCCATATCATTCAAGGGGAATTGCACAGCAGGCTAGAAGAGGGGCAATACTGACTCTTGACTGGGCAATGTTAAGGAGAAGTATGTAGAAGCATTGAGAAAAAAAGGCAAGAAACCATCGGTGAAACTATGATGGGAATGAACAGAAAACAATTTCCAGGAAAACACCATGCATATCATTTCCAATATGTCAGAGAAAAAATATATTAAAAGACAGGGCAGACATTTAGCTTAGTGTTGTTTATGATGCCACCTCAGAGTGTCTATGATTTCCAATGCCAGCTGTAGTTTCTAGCTCCCAGATAATGCAAACCTGGGGAAGCAATGGTGATGTCACCAATGAAGGAGGGCTAGATTCCATTCCTCAATCCTGGCTTCAGTCCTGCCCCACCTCTGTTTGGTATGGTTATCTAGGAAGTGAATTAATGTGTGAAAGCTCTCTATCTCTCAGTCCATCAACTTCTTTCTCTATCAAGCTAATAAATATTTTTAAGTAAGAGAGAAAATACAAGTAAGACAAAGAATACAAATTAGCTTTTGCCCTTGTCTATGATTATTCTACTGATAAACAATTGAAATAACATTATACATAATTAAAGTGAAAGCAATGGAATTATTTGCCCAAAAAGAGAACCTGGGAATGTCTGCAGTACAATCTGCATTTGTGACTCAATGACAAAAATGCTTAGAGATTTGTTTCAGAACAAGCAATAGTCACCAGAACTGTAATCCAGCAGGCTAAGCCTCCACCATCAATGCTGGCATCCCATATAAACAGAGGACTTGACTCCTTGCTGCTCCACTTCCAATCTAGTTCCCTGCTAATCATTTGAAAGAGCAGTGAAAATGGCCTGAGTATTTGGACCCTTCCACCAATGTGGGAGACCCATGGAGTCCCAGGCTCCTGGCTTTGGCCTGGCCCAGTCCCGGGCATTGTGGGCATTTGGGGAATAAAAAGTAGATAGAAGATATATCCTTTTGTCTCCCTGTCTCTCCCAATCTCTGCAAGTCCACCTTGCAAATAAATAATCTTTTTTTTTGGAAATACTGGAACATACGTTTATTTTTGTAAGGAACTCCCATACTAATGTCCCCCCCATAATGTCACTCCCACCCGCAACCCTCCCCTTTCCCACTCCCTCTCCCCTTCCATTCACATCAAGATTCATTTTCAATTCTCTTTATATACAGAAGATCAGTTTAGCATACATTAAGTAAAGATTTCAACAGTTTGCTCCCACACAGAAACATAAAGTGAAAAATACTGTTTGAGTACTAGTTATAGCATTAAATCTCAATGTACAGCACACTAAGGACAAAGATCCTACATGAGGAGTAAGTGCACAGTGACTCCTGTTGTTGACTTAACAAATTGACACTCTTGTTTATGGCCTCAGTAATCACCTAGGCTCTTGTCATGAGCTGCCAAGGCTATGGAAGCCCCCTGAGTTCACCGACTCTGATAATTTTTAGACAAGGCCGTGGTCATAGTGGAAGTTCTCTCCTCCCTTCAGAGAAAGGTACTTCCTTCTTTGATGACCCATTCTTTCCACTGGATCTCACTCGCGGAGATCTTTCATTTAGTTTTTTTTTTTTTTTTTTCCCCCAGAGTGTCTTGGCTTTCCATGCCTGAAATACTCTCATGGGCTTTTCAGCCACATCCAAATGCCTTAAGGGCTGATTCTGAGGCCAGAGTGCTGTTTAGGACATCTGCCATTCTATGGGTCTGCTGTGTATCTCACTTCCCATGTTGGATCGTTCTCTCCCTTTTTGATTCTATCAGCTAGTATTTGCAAACACTATTCTTGTTTATGTGATCCCCTTGATTCTTAGTCCTATCATTATGATCAATTGTGAACAGAAATTGATCACTGGGACTAGTGAGATGGCATTGGTACATGCCACCTTGATGGGATTGAATTGGAATCCCCTGGTATGTTTCTAACTCTACCATTTGAGGTAAGTCAGCTTGAGCATGTCCCGAATTGCACATCTCTTCCCTCTCTTATTCCCACTCTTATATTTAACAGTGATCACTTTTCAGTTAAGTTTCAGCACTTAAGAAGAATTATGTATTGATTACAGTATTCAACCAAAAGTATTAAGTAGAACAAACAAAAAAAATACTAAGAGGGATAACATATTAAGTTGCTCATCAACAGTCAGGGTGAGGGCTGATCAAGTCACCGTTTCTCATAGTGTTCATTTCACTTTAACAGGGTTTCCTTTTTGGTGCTCAGTTAGTTGTCACCTATCAAGGAGAACAAGTGGTATTTGTCCCTTTGGGATTGGCTTATTTCACTCAGCATAATGTTTTCCAAATTCCTAACAGGGATCACTTTTCAGTTAAAATTTAAACACCTAAGAATAATTGTGTGTTAATTACAGAGTTCAACCAATGGTACTAGAACAAAAAAAAATACTAAAATGGATAAAGTATTACATTGTGATCTTAAAAAAATAAATGAACCTCCAGTAGATTCTTTTCTTCACACATTCCTTATCCTATTCCAGAATCCCATTCAGCTTCTCAAAGGTATTAAGAACTCCATTACTCTAATAATTTGAAAACAAACTTAACTGATTTGTGTTCCAGCACTAGGTAACTCTTCCTCTTGCAAAATGCTAAGTGTTTACTTCATAGGTAGCACTAAAATACTGTTCAGTACATCATCTATGTGTACACTGTTTCAGACATGACTCCAAAAATGTAGCATATTGTGCTTAGTTTCAACTCAATTCATGTAACAAATATGTATTTTGCTATAGCAACAGAAAGAGAAGATACCAAATTGCATTATTATACATGACAATAATGTTTCATAATCATGCCAAATTCATAATTCATTTCTGTATATTCTGTGAGAACAAATTTTATGTTTATTTTTCTATTTTAAAATTTTTTAAAGATTTATTTATTTATTTGAAAGAGTTACACAAAGAGAGGAGCAGCAGAGAGAGAGAGGTCGTCCATCTGCTGGTTCAGTCCCCAATTGGCTGCAATGGCTGGAGTTGCACCAATCTGAATCCAGGAACCAGGAGCTTCTTCTGGGTCTCCCACATGGGTGATGGGGCCCAAGGACCTGGGCCATCTTCCACTGCTTTCCCAGGCCATAGTAGAGAGCTGGAGCAGAAGTGGAGCAGCCAGGACTCAAACCGGTGTCTATATGGGATGTCGATGCTTCAGACAAGGGCATTAACCCACTGAGCCACAGAGCCAGCCCCATATTTTCCATTTTAATTAACTAGTATACTGGGACTGGCATTGTTGCTAGCAGGTAAAGCCACTGCCTTCAGTGCTGGCATCCCATATTGGTGCCAGTTCAAGTCCCAGTGGCTTCACTTCCAATCAAGCTCTCTGCTATGGCCTGGGATTTCAGTAGAAGATGGCCCAAGTCCTTGGGCCCCTGAACCCATGTGGGAGACCCAGAAGAAGCTCTTCAGTTCTAGATTTGGATCAGTGTAACTCCGGCCATTGTGGCAAACTGCGGAGTGAACCAGCAGATGGAAGACTCTCTCTCTTTCTCCCTCTGCCTCTCTGTAACTCTGACTTTCAAATACATAAAAAATACTTAAAAAAATAAATAAATAAACTAGCATTAAACACCTAAAATGAGTACTGACAAGCTGGGGAATAATTAAAAAAAAAAAAACACTTACAGGTGATATATTAATTTTCTTTCCTCTTAGAAACATGTGGAGGACCCAGAATCATACCTGGGGAGAGGAAGGTGAATGGAAGGAGTTCAAAGAAAACTCTGGAGGCCAACACTGTGGCATAAGGGGTAAAGCTGCTGCCTGCAGTGCCAGCATTCCATATGGGTTCTGGTTCAAGTCCTGCCTGCTCAACATACAATCTAGCTTTGTGCTATGTCCTGAGAAAGCAGTGGAACATGGTCCAAGTCCTTGGGCCACTGCACCTGCATGGGAGACCCAGAAGCTCTTGGGTCTTGGCTTTGGATCGGCTGAGCTCCAGCCTCTCAGTAATTTGGAGGGTGAGCCAGCAGATAGAAGACTTTCTCTCTCTGCAACCCATTCAATAAATAAATGAAATCTTAAATAAAAAAAAAAAAAACCTCTGGTTTCCTTCTGCACTGAACAGTGGGAAAAAAAGGATATAATAGATGAATAAAGAATAATAAACATCAGCTTCACTGTGGAGGAATAATCCTGTAAAAATAGAAATACATAGGAAAATGCACCCACCTATATTAAGTAGCAGAGATTAAACAGAAGTTATCATTGGTTTAATGAAAGCATTATCTACAAATTTTGTAAAATAATAATGTAAAAGTAAAAAGAAAGGTTGAGTGTTCAAATGAATAAGGTTATCAAAGATAAACATTATGTTGTTATTAAAGTTTATACTAAAGAAAGTTAACAAATACACATAATGTATATTTAATGCAGTGCACTTTACCAGTAATGATTCCAAGTAGCACCTTTCCCTGTATTCATCCCTTCACAAAACCCTGGATTGGGGCTGGCACTGTGGCCTAGCGGGTAAAACTGCCACCTGCAGATTGGCATCCCACATAGGCACTGGTTTGATTCCCAGCTGCCCCACTTCTGGTCCAGCTATATGCTATGGCCTGGGAAAGCAGTAGAAGATGGCCCAAGTCCTTGGGCCCCTGCACCCATGTGGAAGACCCAGAAGAAGCTCCTGGATCCTGGCTTTGGATTGGCACAACTCTGGCCATTGCAGCCAACTGGGGAGTGAACCAGAAGATGGAAGAGCTCTTTCTCTCTCTCTGCCTCTCCCTCTGTGTGTAACTCTTTCAAATAAATAAATAAATCTTTTTTAAAAAGACCCTGAACTTCACCATTTCAATTGATTTACCCCATGAGATACCAGTAAATGTGATAGAAATAGACAATTTGTTAAAATATTTATTTATATGAAAGAGTTACACAAAGAGAGAAGGAGAGGCAGAGAAGAGAGAGAGAGAGAGAGAGAGAGAGAGAGAAGGAGGGAGAAACAGAGGTCTTCAAACTGCAGGTTCACTCCCCAGATGGCTGCAATGGCTGGAGCTGTGTAGATCCAAAGATATGAACCAGGAGCTTCTTTCAGGTCTCCCACAAGGGAGCAGGGGCCAAAGGACTTGGGCCATCTTCTACTGTTTTCCCAGGCTGTAGCAAAGAGCTGGATCAGAAGTGGAGCAGCCGAGTCATGAACTGACACCCATATGAGATGCTGGCACTGCAGGTGGTGTTTTTACCTGCTATGTCACAGAACCAGCCCCAGAAATAGACAATTGGTAAAGTATTTGCCTTCTCAGATTTTCTTTTTCTGACAGTTATCTTCTGAAAAACCCTGGGGCCTGCCTGTTGAAGAGATAGTAGTAGGGTGGTGCCATGGCTCACTAGGCTAATCCTCCACCCGCGGCACTGGTACTCCGGGTGACAGTCCCAGTTGGGGTGCCGGTTCTGACCCAGTTGCTCCTATTCCAGTCCAGCTCTTGACTGTGGCCTGGGAAGGCAGTGGAGGATGGCCCAAGTTCTTGGGCCCTGCACCCACATGGGAGACCAGGAGGAAGTGCCTGTCTCCTAGCTTTGGATCAGCACAGCAGGCTGGCCATAGCAGCCATTTTGGGGGTGAACCAGTGGAAGGAAGACATTTCTCTCTGTCTCTCTCTCTCACTAACTCTACCTGTCAAAAAAAGAAAAAAAAGAGATAATATGTAGCCAAGATTCACCACAAACCCCAGACACTTAAGTGAAGCCTCAATCAGTTCCCCAAATGGCTAAACTCTCATTTCTACTCCTGGACTGATCATAGAAACTGCCCAGCTGAGTACAGCCCATAACACAGAGTCAGAACTGCAAATCAAATGGCTATTTGTTAAGCCATTGTGTTTTCTGGTTTGTCCTACATCAAATGCTGATATGTATCAGTAAGTATGGCAGAAAGTTGAATTACATGCAAACTACAATGCATACAACTTCAAAATTTCATTTGGAAGTTCCCATAAAACAGGGCCAGCATTGTCACATAGCAAGTAATCCTGCCGTCTGCAATACAAGCATCCCATATGAACACTGGTTCATGTTCTGGCTGTTCTGCTTTTGATCCAGCTTCCTGCTGATGGCCTAAGAAAAGCAATAGAAGATGATCCAAATACTTGGGCAAATGCTACCAATGTGGGAGATCCAGATGAAAATCTTGGTTCCTGGCCTCATTCTTTCCTGGCCCTGCTCAATGCAGCCATCTGTGATGTGAACAAGCAGAAGAAAGATCTCTCTGGGTCTCTCCTCTATATACAATATTTTCAAATAATCTTTTTTAAAAAAACTTAGAAAAATGCTCCTATAAACACAATATTTGCCTATCAATTAGACCTTAGAAAAGCTGCTGATACAAAAAAAAAAAAAAAAAAAAAAAGTCCTGGGATTCATAAAAATAAATTATCTGGAGACCTTAAGGTGGTTCTTCACATTTCGGCTTATATATGGTCATTGTGTTCTTTTAGTTTATATTTTAAGAAGCTTATTATCATATGAAATCTAATTTAATATAATTTTACTATCTCAGAAGGCAGGATAAATGTTCACAGTAATTTTCTGTAGGTGCATGTATACTGCATATTGTTGAAGATGAAATTACTGAAAGGGGTAAAATGTTTATGATATCTTTTGGTTTTTTTAAAAGATGTATTTATTTATGTGAAAGTCAAATTTACTCAGAGAGAGAGAGAGAGAGAGAGAGAGATCTTCCATCTGATGGCTCACTCTGAAAATGGCTGTAATGGCCAGAGCTTCACCAACCAAAGCCAGGACCCAGGAGCTTCTTCCAAGTCTCCCACATGGGTGCAGGGACCCAAGGACTTGAGCCATCTTCTACTGCTTTCCCAGGCCATAGCAGAGAGCCGGATCAGAAGTGGAGCAGCTGAGTCTTGAACCTGTGCCAATATGTGATGTGGGCACTTCAGGCCAGGGAATTAACCTGCTGTGCCACAGCACCAGCCTCATGATATGCTTTTTGAAGTCATACACTCCAAACATAGCATTAGTAGAAAAAGGGAAGACATACTCTTGAAAGTTTTCTAAAGCAGTACTATTTGAACTGGTGACAATTTCTGAAATGGATCTGAAAAATAAATGTTTTTTAATTAAGTGTGGCAAGATAGAGAACATTAGGCAGAAGTTAAGGTGCTGGGTATTTACAAATCATGTGACACTACACAAAGCACTTTTCTCCTGAAATACAATTTATTTCATCTTTTTTACAGAGATCCTGGCAAAACTTCCTTGAGCTACCAGGAAGGACTATTAGAATACAGGGGGCAGGAGTCCTCCAAGATGGTGGAATAGGGAGGGAGCACACTGATAGCCCAGGAAAAGATAGTTTAATAAAAGTGGAGATACTGTAGTTTCAGGGAAGAGTTAGGGGGAAAAAACTGCAGAAGAAACTCTTCCAGAAATAGTGGGACATGGTGGACCTACATGGAGGGCACGACCCCAGCTGCTGAGTCTACACACCAGTACTGGAAAGGGAGGTGAGGCAAAACCTCAGTAGCCCAAGACACTGGCAGGGAAGTCGCAGGAAGAGCCTAGAGGGAATGAGGCTTGAAGCCCTGGGGGAAAGTCCACCAGGCTAACTAAGAGAGAAATAAAATCAATAAAATAAATAAATAAAATAAATAAATAAATAAATAAATAAATAAAAGGAACCAGTATGAACATGATTCTCTCTCTCCACTCACCTTACAAAGGTGAGCAAGACAAAGAGCAGGCACCATTTTGGACATATGTAAGAGCTGTGTCACCTCAGGGCTGCACCCGCCCTCAGCCAAGTAGAAAAACTTGACTCTGGTGGGAGAAATAAAAGGAGGTTAGGACCTAGTGATGTGTGGGAGCTTATGAACTGTGACTGTGAAAAAAAAAAAAAACTGAGGGTATGTGAGAGAACTCATGGAGTGCCTGAGATGTGAGTACTCCTGGGAGACGCCGCAAACTTGGTAACCTTGGCAACCTGGTGGAAGACTTCAGGGGAATTTGAGCTTTCACTGAGGACTGCACAGATCCTTTGTGTGGTCCTTGGGACAGAGCAGATGAATATTATACCCACAGGGGCCAGAGCTCAGACACTGACTGCCTTCAATTCCACTCAGCTGTGTGGAATTACTTCCCTTCTTAATAAAAAAAAAATAAAATAAAAAAAAAACACAGAAAGAGAAAAAAATTTAATATGCCTAACCAGAGTGTGTCACCCTTAACCCTGAAGAATCAAACAGCACTCTCTGGCCACACCCATCACAAGCCTCTAAGGATCCATCAAAAGCAGAACAGAAAGTCCACTTAATCGAGTCATAGTATAACAAGAAAAACCTCAACAGCAAAAAAAAAAAAAAAAAAAGAAGAAGAAGAAGAAGAAAACCAAACCAAAGAATAATTCCATAATGTCAAGCAACAAATGCAGAAACTGAGGAAACAAGAACAAAGAAGACATTATGATGCCCCCAAATGAACAGGACACCCCAAGCCAAGATTATAAAGGTGATGAGATAGAAGAAATGCAACATATCAATTTTCAAAAATATATGATAAGAACACTTAGAAGTTCTCAAAAACAAATTCTTGAACTACGGAAATCCTTACTGGACAGGGTAGAAATTCTCTCTCATGAAAATGAAATCTTAAGGAAAAATCTAATTGAATGAAGCAATTAGTAGAACATGAAATTGTGATAGTGAAGAGAAATCAAAATGAAATGAAGAATTCAATAGATCAAATGCCAAACACATTAGAGAGCCTTACAAACAGAATCAGTGAAGCAGAAGAGAGAATACCGGACTTAGAAGACAGAGCACAGGAAAGCATACAGTCAAACCAAAGAAAAGAAGAGGAAATTAGAAATCTAAAAAATATTGTTGGGAATCTACAGGATACTATTAAAAAACCCAACATTCAGGTTCTAGGAGTTCCTGAAGGCCTGGAGAAAGAGAAAGGCCTTTTTAGTGAGATACTAGCAGAAATCTTCCTGAATTTGAAGAAGGACAGAAACATCCTAGTACAGGAAGCTCATAGAACCCCTAATAAACATGACCAAAAGAGATTCTTGACATGACACGTTGTAATCAAACTCACTACAGTGAAACATAAAGAAAAGATCCCAAAATGTGCAAGAGAGAAACGTCAGATTACTCTCAGAGGATCTCCAATTAGACTCACAGCTGACTTCTCATCAGAAACTCTAACAGGTTAGGAGGGAATGGCGAAGATATAGCCCAGGTACTAAGAGAGAACAACTGCCATCCCAGAATATTATCTCCTGCAAAGCTATTATTTGTGAATGAAGGTGAAATAAAGACCTTTCATAGCAAACAGACATTGAAAGAATTTGTCACTACTCGTCTAGCCCTGCAGAAATGCTTAAAGATGTCTTACACACAGAAACACAGAAACACGGCCATAAATATGAAAAAAGGTGAAGGAAGAAAATCTCCCAGTAAAAGATCACAGGAAGTTCAAAGCATATATTAGAAATATCTTTGGGAAAATGGCAGGGCAAAGCTACTACTTATCAATAGTCACATTGAATATTAATGGACTCAAATATCCAGTTAAAAGACACAGACTGGCTGAATAGGAGCACATAAACAAGTCTAGTACCTGCTAACACTAACCGATAGAATAAATAAAGGGGAGAGTGATCCAACATGGGAAGTGAGATACTCAGCAGACTCATAGAATGGCAGATGTCCTAAAGAGCACTCTGGCCTCAGAAACAGCCCTAAAGGCATTCAGATCTGGCTGAAAAGCCCATGAGAGTATTTCAGGCATGGAAAGCCAAGACACTCTGGCAAAAGATCTCTGTGAGTGAGATCCCAGTGGAAAGAACAGGTCATCAAAGAAGGAGGTACCTTTCTCTGAAGGGAGGAGAGAACCTCCACTTTGACTATGACCTTGTCTAAACAAGATAAGAGTCGGAGAACTCAAGGGGCTTCCATAGCCTTGGAAACTCATGACTGCTGCATAGGGAGATTACTGATGCCATAAACAGGAGTATCAATTTGTAAAGTCAACAACAGGAGTCACTGTGCACTTACTCCTCCTGTAGGATCTCTGTCCTTAATGTGCTGTACATTGAGGCTTAATGCTCTAACGAGTACTCAAACAATATATTTCACTTTGTGTTTCTATGGGGGTGCAAACTGTTGAAATCTTTACTTAATGCATACTAAACTGATCTTCTGTAAAAAAAAAAAAAAAAAAAAAAAGAAAAGAAATTATCAATTCCCAACTTGACTCTCACTGGGATTAAACATGACAATAGGTCTGATCTGATTTCATCATCATTTAAAAAAAATCATCTATTATTTTTCACTTTATGTTTCTGTGTGGGAACAAACTGTTGAAACCCTTAATGTACACTAAGCTGATCTTCTGTGTATTAAGATAACCGAAAATGAATCTTGATGTGAATGGAAGGGGAGAGGGAGTGGGTAAGGGGAGGGTTGTGGGTGGGAGGGACGGTATGGGGGGGAAGCCATTGTAATCCATAAGTTGTACTTCGGAAATTTATATTCACTAAATAAAAGTCAAAAAAAAAAAAAAAAGACACAGACTGGCTGAATGGATTAAAGAAAAAAACCCATCTATTTGCTGCCTACAAGAAACACATCTTTCCAACAAAGATGCATAGAGACTGAAAGTAAAAGTTTGGAAAAATGTATTCCATGCCAACAGAAACCAAAAAAATAGCAGGTGTAGCCATATTAATATCAGACAAAATAAACTTTAACACAAAAACTGTTAAGAGAGACAAAGAGGGGCACTATATAATGATTAAGGGAACAATTCAACAGGAAGATATAACAATTATCAATGTATATGCACCTAATTACAGTGCACCAGTTTATTTAAAAGATATGTTAAGGGACTTAAAAGAGAGACATAGACTCCAATACAATAGTATTGGGGGACTTCAATACTCCACTCTCAGAAATAGATCAACCCGACAGAAGATCAACAAGGAAACAGAAGATTTAATTGACACTATGGCCCAAATGGATCAAGCAGATATCTACAGAACTCTCAATCGTACAGCTAAAGCATTTACATTCTTCTCAGCAGTACATGGAACCTTCTCTAGGATTGACCACATACTAGGCCATAAAGCAAGTCTCAGCAAATTCAAAAGAATTAGAATCATATGATGCAGCTTCTCAGACCATAGCGGAATGAAGGTGGAAATTAGCAACTCAGGAATCCCTAGAGCATATGCAAACACATGGAGACTGAACAACATGCTCCTGAATGAACACTGGGTCATAGAAGAAATCAAAAGAGAAATCAAAAACTTTCTGGAAGTAAATGAGGATAAGAACACAACATATCAAAACTTATGGGATACAGCAAAAGCAGTGTTAAGAGGAAAGGTTACAGCAATAGGTGCCTACATCAAGAAATTGGAAAAACATCAAATAAATGAGCTTTCAATTCATCTCAAGGATCTAGAAAAACTGCAAAAGAACAGACACAAATCTAGTAGAAGAGAAATAATTAAAATCACAGAAGAAATCGACAGGATTGAATAAAAAAAAAACATTACAAAAGATCAGCCAAACAAAGAGCTGGATTTTTTGACAAAATAAATAAAATTGACACCCCACTGGCCCAACTAACTAAAAAAAGAAAAGACCCAAATCAATAAAATCAGAGATGAAAAAGGAAACATAACTACAGACACCGAAGAAATAAAAAGAATCATCAGAAATTACTACAAGGACTTGTATGCCAGCAAACAGGGAAAACTGTCAGAAATGGATAGATTCCTGGACACATGCAACCTACTTAAATTGAACCAGGAAGACATAGAAAACCTAAACAGACCCATAACTGAGACAGAAATAAAGGCCCTCCCAAGAAAGAAAAGCCCAGGACCGAATGGATTCACTGGTGAATTCTACCAGACATTTAAAGAACTAATCCCAAACTATTCAGAACAATTGACAAAGAGGGAATCCTTCCAAATTCTTTCTATGAAGCCATCATCACTTTAATTCCTAAGCTGGAAAATGATGCAGCATTGAAAGTACATTCAGACCAATATCCCTGATGAACATAGATGCAAAAAAACCTCAATAAAATTCTGGCTAACAGAATGCAGCAACACATCAGAAAGATCATCCATCCAGACCAAGTGGGATTCATCCCTGGTATGCAGGGATGGTTCAACATTCGCAAATCAATCAATGTGATACACCACATTAACAGACTGCAGAAGAAAAACCATATGATTATCTCAATAGATGCAGAGGAAGCATTTGATAAAATACAACAACATCTCATTATGAAAACTCTAAGGCAAACTGGGTATAAAAGGAACATTCCTCAGTGCAATCAAAGCAATTTATGAAAACCCATGGCCAGCATCCTATTGAATGGGGAAACGTTGGAAGCATTTCCACTGAGATCTGGGACCAGACAGGGATGCCCATTCTCACCATTACTAGTCAACATAGTTCTGGAAGTTTTAGCCAGAGCCATCAGACAAGAAAAAGAAATTAAAGGGATACAAATTGGGAAGGAAGAACTCAAACTATCCCTCTTTGCAGATGATATGATTCTTTATCTAGGGGATCCAAAGAACTCCACTAAGAGACTATTGGAACTCATAGAAGAGTTTGGCAAAGCAGCAGGATATAAAATCAATGCACAAAAATCAACAGCCTTTGTATACACAAGCAATGCCATGGCTGAGAAAGAACTGCTAAGATCAATCCCATTCACAGCAGCCACAAAAACAATCAAATACCTTGGAATAAACTTAACCAAGGATGTTAAAGATCTCTATGATGAGAATCACAAAGTCTTAAAGAAAGAAATAGAAGAGGATACCAAAAAATGGAAAAATCTTCCATGCTTATGGATTGGAAGAATCAATGGCATCAAAATGTCCATTCTCCCAAAAGCAATTTATAGATTCAATGTGATACCAATCAAAATACCAAAGACATTCTACTCAGATCTGGAAAAAATGGTGCTGAAATTCATATGGAGACACAGGAGACCTCGAATAACTAAAGCAACTTTGTGCAACAAAAACAAAGCCAGAGGCATCACAATACCAGATTTCAGGACATACTGACAGGCAGTGGTAATCAAAACAGCATGGCACTGGTACAGAAACAGATGGATAGACCAATGGAACAGAATTGAAACACCAGAAATCCAAACATCTGTAGGCAACGTATATTTGATCAAGGATCCAAAACCAATCCCTGGAGTAAGGACAGTCTATTCAATAAATGGTGCTGGGAAAACTGGATTTCCACGTGCAGAATCATGAAGCAAGACCCCTACCTTACACCTTAGGGAGGCACCTACTGTACACCTTACACAAAAATCCACTCAACATGGATTAAAGATCTAAATCTATGACCCAACACCAGCAAATTATTAGAGAACATTGGAGAAACCCTGAAAGACATTGGCACCGGCAAAGACTTCTTGGAAAATACCCCAGAGGCACAGGCAGTCAAAGCCACAATTAACACTTGGGATTGCATCAAATTGAGAAGTTTCTGTACTGCAAAAGAAACAGTCAGGAGAGTGAAGAGGCAACTGACAGAATGGGAAAAAATATTTGCAAACTATGCAACTGATAAAGGGTTGATAACCAGAATCTACAAAGAGATCAAGAATCGCCACAAGATCAAAACAAACAACCCACTGAAGAGATGGGCCAAGGACCTCAATAGACATTTTTTCAAAAGGGGAAATCCAAATGGCCAACAGGCACATGAAAAAATGTTCAAGGTCATTAGCAATCAGGGAAATGCAAATCAAAACCACAATGAGGTTTCACCTCACCCTGGTTAGAATGGCTCACATACAGAAATCTACCAACAACAGATGCTGGCAAGGATGTGGTGAAAAAGACACTAACCCACTGTTGGTGGGAATGCAAACTGGTAAAGCCACTATGGAATTCAGTCTGGAGATTCCTCAGAATCCTGCATATAACCCTACCATTCAACCCAGCCATCCCACTCGTTGGAATTTACTCAAAGGAAATTAAATTGGCAAATAATAAAGATGTCTGCACCATAATGTTTATTGCAGATCACTTCACAGTAGCTAAGACCTGGAATCAACCCAAATGCCCATCAACAGTAGACTAGATAAAGAAATTATGGGACATGTACTCTATAGAATACTATACAGCAGTCAAAA